TAAGTGTGATAAATATATAAGATATATTTAATCTTTCCATGTGACTGATCTGTTTATTGTAAAATTTTGTTAAAATTTTGTTAAAATTCACTTTTAAAAAGAGTGTTTGCTTGTCCAAATATGTCAAAATGACCAGCTATTTCCATGGGATGTGTATAAATAGCCTATATAGGCTATGTATTACAATGAACAATTAATATTAAAAAACAATCGCAAAGTAATCATGATGAATAGAGAATGCAAAGCACTTGGCTTGTCTAATAACCATGTTTCTTGATGTAAATAAACCTGGGGACGGTTGCATAAACTGCTTAGACTAGTCTTAAAAAGTTAGTCATCTAATTTTTTTCTTCAAGAATGGTCATAACTTTTTAAATTCAATTACAACAAAAAGGTAGATTGGTCTAATTTGAATCTCGGAAGTAAGACCAATTACCCCTTGTCTACTGCTAGTTCTTAAGACCCAGTCTTAAAATAGTGGCTATGTTTAAGGGGCAACTGGCCCCTGTTTTGCACAGTTCAATCGGCGCATCTGTTTCTACACAGCACGACACCAGACTGTCATCCGCGCGCACTCATATAACGTGCACGCGCTATGCACTTACACTGTTTGCATACCCAACTCGCCTGTGTGATCGAGTTAAAGCTAAATCGCCTACTACTGTCACAGAATAAGATGGTCACAGAATTTGATGTAACACTTGTCAAGAGGGCAGCGTGCATTGTAAGCATGAGATTTTTGTGTACAATATTTCAACCAGTACTGAAATTGCAATGTCATGGCGTAAATATCAAAATTTAATTTCAGTGAACGAGTCTATAGAAAATTCGAAACGAGTCGTCAGTCAAAACGAACATTTATTACAAGACAACATTTTCAAAAACCCATGCAAAACGTGCAGTGTTGGGGTGCCTCCATGGACCAGGGTTGGGAACCACTGGGATAGACTGTATAAAATATGGACGTGGTGTCCGTGACATCACCCGTAAGTTTCTGAAGAGCATTTGTGAAGCCTAAAGTGGGCGGAGCCGGCCATCGCCATCTTGGCAGCACGTCCCTCCCAGATAATCAAAAATGGGCAAAGAGGCGGGATGTGGGTGGAGCTGAGGTGATTGGTTGCTGAAACCATGCCCGCCTGGCTCAATGGTCGTGACAGCGGCAATCCACCTGTCACTCAAGTGGCCACGCCCATAATTATGCAGAACTTTAAGGCTTAATATAATTTAAAAAGATGAATTATAAAAAAAATTCCCCCCTCACAGTTGTCATGAAGGGCAAAATTAGCTATATAGACCAAAACAACTTTTTATACCAGTCTGTAAACATTTTTTTTCTGTGGTAAATTTGGGCATTTTAACATGGGGGGTCTAAGGGATTGACTCCCTTGTGGAGCCAGTCTCTATCGGCCAGTCAATGAATTGTATTTTAAGTCACTTCCATGTTCAAGAGAGAGACCAGAAGGTTGCCGCTTGCTCAGTAGCGATCTCGCCAGTCAGATATCATAACATCTCCCCTTTCCCAAACAATGAACCTCAAAAACCCCCAGTATTTAACAATTCTGGCATACAACAAAAATCATATTGTAACTATATTCAATTCTTTACTTGACATGCTTTTCTAACGTAGAAGAAAATTATTGCTTAACTAACATTGGAATCTTTTCTCCATCTTTACATGAACATACTTTTCCCTATTTTTTCCATTCAAATGAACACATTTCTCTCTCTCTCTCGTTTTTTTCTTCAGCAATTTTCCTCCCTCTATCTCTAAGGAGATCAGGGTGGACTACCTGAGCACTCCTGGCACAGTGAGAGGATTATTCTGCCTCTGTGTTCACCGGCCATAAGCTAAAGATCCATTCGGCTTGGCGGTACTGACAAACGTCCCGATCTTGTGTAAGTTCCCGGTCTGGTAGGTAGAGCAGGCTATGGGCTTGAAGCTGGCTGTTGAACTGTGGGCGTCTAGTCTCGCGTAGCCAAACCTTCAGTTCAGACCTATGGCAGAAGGGCTGGGAACCTTGGCCGCTTTGAATGGCCAAGGACCACCCAAGAGACCATATGATTGACATGTAAAGCAACCAATCCCGTTTTGTTTTGTGCCACGTCATGTTTAGGGGCATGGAAATGTCCCCACAATAACAGACCAGTGTGTAAAACTCTTGGATATATTTTAAAGAGTCTATGCTGTGAACTTTACATATTTCACATACTTTTGAAAATCCAGCGCTTAATTGATCCTGATAAGCACTCAGTGTCACAGTTGTAAACACGACAGCTTTCTTTTAACATGAGGGGGTTTGGCGACAAGGCATCTTTGTTTCCAGGCGGAACGTTAAAGTGACAAACGTCCCGATCTTGTGTAAGTTCCCGGTCTGGTAGGTAGAGCAGGCTATGGGCTTGAAGCTGGCTGTTGAACTGTGGGCGTCTAGTCTCGCGTAGCCAAACCTTCAGTTCAGACCTATGGCAGAAGGGCTGGGAACCTTGGCCGCTTTGAATGGCC